ACACACACACACACACACACACACACACACACACACACACACACACACACACACACACACACACATCTTTATGCTGTTCTTAGGACTGTACTCTTCTTGACAGAGATCTCAGGTGTTTTTTCTGGGATCTGCTGGAATCACCTGGCCAGTGTAGGGGTCACTGCCCCAGGTCCCTCAGTTACTACGGGGGCAACTGTTGCCTTCATCCTCCACACCCTCCTTCTTTAGCACTTTTCTCAGCCCTTGGTTTTTCTCAAACGTCCAGTCTTTTTTTTGCTGTCAGTTGGTATAGCTACATCCATTACTGCTGCCTTCTTCCTCTGATTGTCCACCACTTCTCTGTCTGGTTGGTTGGTCGTGAGCAGTTTTTCTGCATCTGGAAGTCCCACAGGATCTTCGCTCTGTCATTCTCAACCACCCAGGGGTGTGTGTCCCAATTTCGGCACTTCCATGCCGTACTCCGCAGAGCTGTTCATGTACACAGACGCTTGGTTAGACCTCAGCCTCTATCGATCTTTCAGTCCAGCTTGATCTAGCTCAGTGGTTCTCAAACTTTTCACAATGACTACCACCTCATAAAATGCATGGCTCTTAAAGCACCGCCCCTATGACCGACATTAAAGTACAGTAGTAGGCCTATTTAACACCATATACAGTTTACCAGAGACAATTTTATTTCTTATATGAATGTTATTTATTTTAACTGTCATAAACAGGATGTGACTAGTGACAATAATAACAACTGTACTGCAATCGTATAATGTATGAACCCTAAACTGCTCTGCGTTTATTAAGGCTGTTGTGGTTTTAACATGTTTTAATGCTTTGTATCTTGTTCTATTTAATGTGAACAAGCCCCTAAAAAGATCACTGTTGGCCTCTCTTGGTTTTTATTACCACTATTCATTTTAATGCTTAATTTTTAAAACCTTACGATGTAACTACAGCCCAGCCCATGCAGCAGTAAATTAATGACTAACCTCGTATTGTGGATGGATTATCTCAGTAGTTCTCCTGATTAAGTTTGGTCCGTTTACAGCATCCTGCCATGCGATTGCATTTCTCCCTAACCATCAGGAACCCTCACATTAACTTTTATCGAGTGGAAAAAAGTTAGCGTTCATCCTCCAGCTTCACTGTGTTTATGCTAACATAGCTGTGTCGCTAGCGATCACATAGTACATCATTATATACCAGCTAGCCCAACTTCAGTAACCCTACAAACGTCACTGCTGTTTAGTTTTCTGTCTTCATTTATGTCGGAAGTGATAGCAGAGCTGTACGTTTGAATTTTTTCAGAAATCCCTGAATCAGAACATGGTACATTATTTAATCTTAATCATGTCAGTCACGTCTTCTAGCTGCCTGTGGAACATACCATGCAGGAGTCTGTCCTTCCATTATGCTGCCCATCTTCCTCCTCTTAATTCTTCAGTTTATGCTGCCGGAGATATTCACTAAGCACATGACTGGCTGTGGCTATCTTCCTGATGTACTTATCAATGTTTGTTGCTTCATCCTGGATAGTGGTTTGGACAGTCACTAGTCCTCAGGCTCCTTCCTTTTGCTTAGCATATTGTCTCAGGGTGCTGGACTTGGGGTGAAACCCTTTATGCATCGTAAAGAACTTTCTTGTCTTGATGTCAGTGGGTTCTCTCTTCCTCTTTTGCTGGCTTATTATCCCAGCAGGATAACTGGTAAGGCTTACGTGTTGACTGCCAGGACTTGTTCTTCCCATTCAGCAGACTGCTCAGGACTTGCCTTACTCTCTGAAGGTATTTGGGGCTTTCCAAGTGGCCTCTTCATGGTTCCCATTCAGGATCCAAGGTACTTGTAGCTATCCTTGATGTCTGCAATGCCGCCTTCTGGTAGTTCATTACCCTCAGCTTTACTTTTTTGACTTTCTTCCCTCTCTGTGTTACCATCTAACTACATTTCTCTCCAGTCTGATGTTGTTCTTTGTTTTTAACCATGACAGACATACTTGGAGTAGCAAGATTTTCTGCAAAAACAATTGCAAAAGCTTTGACGGAGATAATTTGGCTAATGCCAAATTGATAAACTGGCTCAAATGAATGATTGTCAACATCAGAACATGAAGATTATCAAATTTCAGACTATTTTGATACACTATTGTGTACATGAATCCTTCCCATAGAGGTGGGCCCTTAAGGAGGTGATCAGGATATTTCTGCGATGCATCTGCAATGTGTGCCCAGAGCACAGGTTGTATTGCAAATTGTGTTTGAAAGACAAAGCAGTGTCACCTTGCACAGAACCTCACTGCTATTACTTTATTTTATATTATCTGTTATCTTTCCATAATTAGATAAGTAATTTCTTTCAGATATGTCAGCAATCCAAACATTTTCAAGTCTTTCTTTACAAAATATTTTCTACATTACACATCTACATACAAGATTGTTTTTAATTAATGAAGCACCTATCAATGGAATTGATCAAATATGAAAGAACGCCCCAAATGTGGCTCTACCGGACTGTAGATTGTTGTTGATCAAAGCATTATAGACTGAGTTCAACATTTTGGTGTTAAAATGATACTACCATCTAGGTATAGATCAGTCCCTCAAACATAACATGTTAAATGTATTATTTTCTATTTTTATTGAAGCAAAGACAATTTGTTTTGCAGGGAAGTGTCAGAGGAGGATGCT